ATTTATCAAATTCATATCTTTTCTTCAATCTCTTGAATAAAGTTTTGTCCTTATCACACATCTTAAAAAAAAAAAGAGAATTATTAATAATCTAAAAAGAAAATAATACATAAATTTCAAATAGATAAAGTTACAAAATTCTTTCAAAAAACAATGATCATATCTTTTATAAAAAAAATTCATAAAAATATAATAAGACTAATAAGGAAAATAATTTAGATAATAATATACATATTTTGGACTAAGATGAAAAAAGATGTATAAAATAAAAACATAATATTATATTTAGATACAATATGAAATAGGAAACAAAAAAAAAAAATTGGAACTCAGCATATTAATAAAATGAAATTGAAGAGATAAAGAGAAGAATATACTATATTAGCATAGATAAAAGTGAGGGTTTATATATAGGTGAGTAAGAGGATGGAAGGGTATTGTACATAAAAAAGAAGAAAACCAAAAGGTTAAAAAAATTATAACTGCACAAATATTTATTATACCATACATTACAATCCTAAACATTTATTTTTCATAAATTTTAAGCATTTATTCATCTTTTTTCATTTTAATGCATTATATTACATTATTATATTATGTATATAATGAAAACTAATAATGATAAAATAATTAAGAATATAAAAATAAGAAGTAGAAGACAAAGAATATAAGAAGATAAAAAGGTTGAATTCACATTATTAAATAGATTTATTTACATAATTTATTTTTTTCTAATTAAAATTAAATGATAAATTTTAGGTCTAATTAATTTATTCTTCAGTTACTACTAAAAAATTAATTAATATATAATTATATAATAAATAAAAATATATTATATAATAGTATTATATATTAGATATGTATATATAAATACATACCCTATTTAACGCACAGAGTAGCATTTTATATATATAGATAAATAAATAAATTTGTAACTGCCATATTATTAATTTTTTATTGCTTTCTTTACATTAAGTAATAAAATAATTATAACAATAGTTATAATTCATAATTTTATTATTGAAGATAAATATGAAACCCAATATAAATAATAATTTGATTCATAATGATATAAATTCAAATGAAAGAAAAT